GATTTTCAGGGGGGAAACATCCTTTTTTTCTTTTTTTTTTTTTTTTTTTTAGAAAATAAAAACCTGACAATTGAAAGACAGTTGCTCTTGACATAATTTTACAAGATGGAGCATCACTCTTCATTACTGAAGTTTTCTTTCAAGACAGTCTAAAAAATAACAGCAAATCAACATACTTGACAACTAGAAAATAAAAACTGCCAAACGTGAAATAATGAAATTAAATAATTAAGTTATTTTTTAACTGAATTAAAATTCTAAGGTCTTGCTTCCATTCTTCCATTATTTTGAATTTTTACAAAAGCTGTCAGGAAACTATTTTCATGAAGGTGCTGTTGTAATAAATTTTAATTTAAACTAAACAATATTTTGTTGTAGTAGTGAAAAATTATATTTATGTATGATAAAAAAAGACAAATTTCTGTTTTAAGATCAAATCTCAACTTAAATCTAGCTCTGCAGATGTTGCTTACTAAAGCTGTAATAAGAACTAGCCTTTTATTAGGGCTGATAATAGGCATTGGGAGACAATACTTCTACCAAATGTTTTTCAAAGTTTAGTGAAAAAAACTTGTTTCGTTAACAAAATAAATGTAGCATTTAGGAAATAATTAGGTTCAGAGAATTAAATGTGATAGATGTATTTCACTAAAAGTCTGATGCATTAATATGAGAAGTGATACTTGTCTTTTTGTACTTTCTACAACTAGAATGGCACTGGTCACAGCTAGAAAACATATAGGCTGAACTGAATTAAACAGTTACACAGCACGTTATTTCAGATTCAGTGCAGCCAAGTCAGGTCTGACAACAAACTTATTTTAATTTACCACAGTCTTTGGTATTACTTCATTATATAAATTACGTTCCACATGAAAACAGAATTGTTTTAAAGCCTTGTTGGCTTTACTTTCTATATTCCTCAAATAATAACATTTCCGGAAGTTTGGAGTGATAGCATTTAAAAAAAAAAAAGAAGAAGAAAAAGAAGTGATGCATCCTTGGAGGATGACAAGAGTCAACTGATGTGGGCCATTAGACTGAAGTCAGTCATAATATGGTTAGATTTTTCTCCAATTAATAATACAAACTGTCAAGTTTCATTTCCTAACAATTTTGGAGTTCTGCCAGACCACAAAAGAAAAGGCGATACTCAACTTGTCTGTGCCAATTTTTCAGTCTTGCCTGCAGACTGTAACAAAGGTCAGTGTTAAAGCTAACAAAAAAGGAAGCCAACTATCCATATATTTTCCCTTATAACAGGGGAGAGAAAGAATGTCTATATAAATGCATGTGTCTATAGGTATACTTGTATATATGTGTGTATAATTTATCTAAAATTTATTTAAGAGCAAGCAGTCAAGCAAGCTCATTAAGAAAAAAACAGCCACAAATCTCATCTACACATTTCAATGAGCTCTGATTTACATTAAGAACAATGAATGTTTCCAGTCAAACTGGCAGTGCTGATACTTTAAGGGCTCAAATCCAGTGCAGTACCTAATAATTCACTGTACTTAAAATTAAGCAGCTACTCTATCTGAAATTTCCATTTGCCTTATCTTCTTTTTAAATTAATTATCTCTGTAAGGGTAAGGAGGGATATTAGGAAAGAGCAATTCGTAGAGACTAACACATTAAAAAAATAAATATATATTTTGTAGAAATTGGGATCTCATATGATTGTATTTTTTAACAAGACAGTAATTAAGAAACACAAGTATATAGTTTCCTAGACTACCTTAGGTTTGCAATTATATGTTCTTAGGAGTCTGGGCTGTCCAAAGACTACCTTATTTCCTACATACCTTTGACTCCCTCAAAAATAAAAATTACTAAAATGTTCAATTAAAACACCTTTAGATACACAGCTATAAACAGGAAGAGGTATAATGGCAATCCATCATTTCTCCTTCCTCAACCCACACTATTCATGTTTTCACTGTTTATCTCTACCACGTATTTTTCAAATTTAAAATCAATGTATATATTCTGGCACAGGCTTCACAGAGCATTTGCCATTTTTCAGCAGCATGGCAAACATACAAGTCTTTCCTTTAGTAGTGCCTCTCTTAATCAAAAAGGACAAACCACTTTGTTTTGGGGAAATCCAAACAGAATAACAATTTTTATATCCTTTACTAAGACATGCATAGATAAGGAGAAGAAACAAACTCGGCATCCTGTATAAGCAAAGTGAGTGTCAGGCTAGTACCTTTTCTTTTTTCATCATCTTAACACACAAAATTCTAATATAATCCAAGCCCTCAACTGTTTTTCAAAGTTACTATGAGTAGAAAATTATATTCTGATCTTCCCAACAGTAATAAACGGGGGAGGTGGGGAGGATAAATCTTGAAATTAGCATCTTAATACATAACAAACTTTTAAAGCAATTACTGTGAGAAATGCTCACTCACTATACAATTTCAAGGGTTCTGGGAGTACCATCTCTGCACACTTAAATCTCTAGACAAATTAGGAAAGCATTACTAAATCCTTGCAATGGCTTCTCATTCTTTTGTTTAGCTTTGTATCATCCTTTGTTAAGCACTTTTTTTCCTTGCATGCTCTCCATATCTGTGAACCAACTGCAGCACTTCATTTTTGCTCTCATGAAACGAATTATTTATGCTACAATCAGGGAAAAAAAAGTCACCTGAGGCTCTCAGGAGGCTCTCTTCTGCTATGCTCTGAAGTTAATTTAAATTTACATGTTTACAGGCAATGCCATACTACAAACTTTACAAAGCATGACATAAAACACCCATTTCTGCTGTAACCATATTTTCATCATCCATGCACATGT